CCCCGCCCCGCCCCGCCCCGCCCCGTCCCTTGCGCTATCCAGCAGATGCCCCCTTACTGACCAGCTGGTCGCTTGACTTGTATGCCATGCGGCCCGGTGCGCCAATGCCATGCAGTCCCTCCTGCTGTCGACCGTGCAGACGGACAGCAACTACTTCGTATGCGACACCAAGGAGTTGCTCCAGCTGGCGGACGTCATCCAGCCGGTTCCGCTGACCCTCGAGGAGCGCCTGCTTTTCGTCCGGGCCCCGATCAGTGCCAGTTCCGATTCGGTGGTCTTCGCTCTGAAGCGGGTACGCGATTTTGCCCCTCCCCGACCCGGTCCCCCGCCTGCCCGCCTTCCTTCTTTGTCCCTGCTCCTCACTGACCCGCGCATCTGCCTGCCGATAGTTTGCCGAGCAGTATGCCGAGGCAAAGATTGTTGCTTTCGAGTTCCGCATGCCCTTCCCCAGCAACAGCCGCAAGACGCTGGCCAGTCTGGAGGAGTTTTACTCAATCGCCGATCTGTACCTGTGGCTGAAGTGCGTGCTCTTTGGTTCGGTTTCTTCCTGGCATTGGCATGGCGTTTGTTGCTTTGTTGCTCCTCCCCTTCAGCTGGGAGACCTTCTCACTGACCCGTGCTCGTAGCCAACGTCTGGATGGCTTTGTGGACGCGCTGCCGGCCGAGCTCCTGCGTATCCAGGCGTCCCTGTCGCTGAATAGCATGATCGCAAAGGCCGATTCCAAGAAGCCGGCCATCACCAGTCGGGAGGCCGTCGACCCCCTGCGGCTGAATATCGAAGACCTGCTGGCCATTCCCCTCCTGAGTGCCCTGCCGGCGGAGGTGGCCGGCAAGCTCATTTCCATCGACATGCCGCTGTTGACGGTGGCCGATGCATGGCAGCGCATCGCCGACCTGGGCCTGGTGCTGTCGGACTATGGGCAGCTTGTGCTTCCATCGGACGAGCCTCCGGAGGAGCAAGCCTGGGAAAGTGCCGCGCAGCCCGAGCACCAGAGCAAGCCCACGCCCAACAGCCCGGAGATCACCGGGTATGCCGTTGACCGGGATGATTATCAATTCCGTAAGCCGGTGGTCCGCATGCAGCGCTTCGGCAAGCAGGTGCTGGCCTCGCGCTCCGGGGACCCGATCTTCGGGCTGGCATTCAACCCGGACGATGTGCCGGCCGAGGAGGCCGAGGGAGATTCCCAGGCGCGCGACTCGTCGCCGCCGTCCGAGCGCAGTGTCACCCTGGAGGAGCTGGCCCGGCACTTCCCGCACCAGGACTTCTCCACGCTCTCGCCCTCGCAGCTGCGTGTGCTCAGCACCTTCTACCTGGACTCGATGGACACGGAGGGGAAGGATGCTGCGTCCGGCGGCTGGGGCGAGGCCCACATGCCCTCGGAGCCTCAGCCACTCGATCCTTGGCAGCAGCAGCAACAGCAGCAGCAGTATCAGCATCAGCAGCATCAGCAACAGTATCAGCAGCATCAGCAGCATCAGCAGCATCAGCAACAGTATCAGCAGCATCAGCAGCATCAGCAGGATCAGCAGGATCAGCAGCAGTGGCACACGGATCCCCAGGAGCCGGTGATGTCCGACTTGCAGGGTGAGCTGCTCGATGAGGTGGCCCCTGTAGCATCAGCTGCCTCGTCCGAGCCCACGTCCGGGTCCTCCCATGCTTTCACCATGGCTGCTGGCTCCTCAGTGGGCAACAGGTTCTCCTGGACCCGGAGCGGCCTGTCCAGCCCTCTGCAGGGGGTCAGCAGGAATGGCGAAGCCACCTCGGCCAGCTCATCTGGCAACCCGCCTGCGGCCAGCCGGGGCGGCCGGTTCCTCTTCTCGACCGGCGGGGCGTCCGGCGGCCGGGGCGGCGGCCCGCCCGCGGGCCAATCTTCCCCGAAGCCGCCCTCTTCCTTGGGCGGCTGGGGGATCTGAGCGCAGCCTGGGCTCGCGAGTGTGATGCCGCACACGCGGAGCGTGTGGCCTATGTCCCTCCCCGTGGGCGTCTCTGTCCATTTGCCTTTGGGCCGGAAATGGAGCACGTACATCGGCTTTGCTCCGTTGTTGCTGCTGACACGCGGCCGACTGTCCCCCCTCTGCCTTTTTCTCCTCCTGGGACAGACCAGACCCTGTGGCTTCTGTGCGTTCGTCCACCCTCTCCTCTGCCCTGGCGATGGGTCCCCCTCCTGGCGTCTGCGCGTGCATACACACGCACAGGCAGCAGGGCGGGCAGGGGCCCGGGAGCCGGGCACGCCCGTGGATGTGCGTCTCCCCCCAAGCGCATCTTGCCCCCTTCTCGGCTTTCGTCGCTCCTCCCCCCCCCCCCCCAGAGACCAGTGTGCAGTCAGATGCTCGAGCGGCACACGGCTGTCCACAGCTCGCCCCCTCCCCCGCTTTTCCTTGTCTTCCGTGCCCGGGAAAAGCCCCCCCTTCCCCCCCCCTCCCCCCCTTTCTGCACTTCACTGCCACAATAGACCACGCGCAAAAGCGCGCCCCTCTCCCTTCTGCCCTCCTCTCCCAGGGGCCTTCTTCGCCCCCGGCCCCCTCTCATCCCCGGCCTTTTTCTGCCCCTCGCACAGAGCTCTGCCTTTGCGCGCCTCCTCTTCTCTCGCCAGCCAGGTCCTCATTTTTTGCGCATCTCCATGGGCTTGGCTCCGGGGTCACCTGCCGGCCGTGCGCGCACGCGCGGTGCGCGGACCTGGCGTGCGCTCTCCCCTGCAGTGAAACACCTGACCCCGGCGGAGGGGCGAGGAATGGGGCGCGCGAGGCACGGAGGGGGATATGCGTGTATGTATATTCGGGTCCTGCCGGACACATACGGGGGGCAGCGCAAGCGCACGCAGGGGGGGGGGGGGTGCGCGTGGGGATAGTGTACATCGCGGCGGGGGCGCAGCGGGGGGCGGGGGATGCCCATGGGGCGGGTGTGTTTCCCTCTGCCACCAAAGGACAGGGCAGCTGGTGCTTGCGTGGTTTCTCTCTCCTCCTCGCTCGGCCCGACTCTCGGCTGTGCCTAGTGGCCGGGCGCGGGAGAGGGGGGGGGGAGGGGAGGCGGCGGAAGGAGGGCAGCTTCATCCTGCCGGGCGCGGGAGGGGGGGGGGCGGTCACGGGTGACGCGCGCTCCGGCCCGCTCAGAAGCGCTGCTCCTGGTGCTCAGAGGCCTGGCGCTGGGGGCGGATGCGGCTGAGGCTGTCGGTGACGGCATTGCGCAGGCCGGTGTAGGACAGGACCGCCGGGGCCTGCTCGGGGGTCCGCTGCTCGGGCTCGCCGGCGGCCGCCACCCCGGGGACACCCTCCGGGCGGAGGAACTGGTTGACATAGAACCGGTCATAGGTGCGCCCGGTGCGCGGGTCGCGAATGAACATGGCGCTGTCGTCCTGCTCGAAGGCATTGCGCACGCCGACGCCCGGCACGCGGCCGGCATTGACCGGGCCGCGCTTGTTGACGTACTTGTCGATGGAGGCGCCGCGCTGGAAGCCGGCCCCCTGGAAGCGGTTGTGCTGGAAGGAGGTGCCAAAGAGGCCATCGATCACCTCGTACTCGGCGTCGCTGCCCTGGAAGACGAAGTTGGCCTTGGCGGTGGCGGCATCGGTGCCTGGATGTTTTCCCCCCCGTCCATGCAAGTGTGTCAGTAAGTGTGCGTGATCGGGCGAGCCGGGTGCAAGGGCCTATGCGCGGCGTGCCGGCGGGCTGGCCGAGAAGCATGTCCCCCCCCCCCCTCGCCCCCCCCTCGCCCGTCCGCTCGCTGCAGAGCGGCAGGAGCGCCCTTCCACAGGCCGCTGGCGGGCGAATGCGTGCGTGTGCGCCTGCGCGTGCGGCGCGCGCACGGCCTCGCGGCGTACCATCGATGATGAAGCGAGCCGTCTGGCCCAGGACACCGTGGGGGTTGGTCGGCCGGCCGATGACACTGACCTGCAGGTTGACATAGGCCTCGGACATGTGGCCGGTCTCGATGACCGTGCGGGCGGTCATGTCCCAGGTCGGGGTGCGGACGTGCAGGCGCCAGCGGCCGTCCAGATGGTCGACCACCACATCGGCGCCCTGGAGCTCGAGCGACGTCCCGTCGGCCAGCTGGCGCCCATCGAGGAAGGCGCCGAAGTTCGGGTCGTAGCCGATGGCGTGGACCCCGCCGGCGCCGTCGCTGACCAGCATGCCGATCTTGCTCATGTAGGTGCCCTGGAGGCCGGCCAGGCGGACCAGGTGGGCATTCAGCTGGAAGTCCGTGTCGGAGACGATGTTGTAATCATGGCCGGCCATGCCCTCGAAGTAGTAGCTGGCGCCATGGAAGCCCACCATGTGGGGGTCCTGCTTGCCGGTGCCGGTTTCGATGATGTCGCAGGTGGTGGCCGACCGGCAGACATTCGGCGTGTCGGAGCAGGTGAACACCTGGCGCTGGTTGTTGAGGCACTCGGCCGGGTTCGGCCGGACCAGGGGGTTGTTGTTGCGGGTGCACTGGCTGACGCTGCTGTAGCAGGTGGCCGTGGTGCCGGCCGGGCAGGTGCAGCGCACCGGCGCGGCGGTGGGCTCGGGCTTGGACGGCTCCTTGGTCGGGGTGGGGGTGGGCTTGGGGGTGGGCTTGGGGGTGGGCTTGGGGGTGGGCTTGGGGGTGGGCTTCGGGGTGGGCTTGGGGGTGGGCTTCTCCGTCGGCTTGGGCGTCGGCTTGGGAGTGGGCTTGGGAGTGGGCTTGGGGGTGGGCTTCTCCGTCGGCTTGGGCGTCGGCTTGGGCGTCGGCTTGGGGGTGGGCTTGGGGGTGGGCTTCTCGGTGGGCTTCGGGGTGGGCTCGGGCTTGGACGGCTCCTTGGTCGGGGTCGGGGTGGGCTTCTGGGTGGGCTTCGGGGTGGGCGCCGAGGTGGGCTGATGGTGGTGATCGTCGTGGATGTGGACAATCTCAAACTCATAGGAGGAGGTCTTGTTGACGCTCTTGTTCTTGGTCTTGGTCATGGTCTGCTCGTAGTAGATGTCGGTCATGACGTCGTGCACGTCCTTGGAGTAGCCGCTGATCTTGTCGTCGTCGTCGTCGTCGTCCTCCTCGCGCTGGCGATCGTCCTTGTCATCGCGAGCCATGATGCCGGCCTCGTCGCGGGCCTGGCGCTGGGCGTCCTCCAGCTGCTCGCGACTCAGGGGGATGCTGGCGCCGGAGGCGGCCGTGATCACCATGGCGCTCAGGGCCAGGCCCAGGAGGGAGGTGCCGGTGAGCTTGGTCATCTGTGGTGCCGGAGGGGGGGGGGGGGTCAGTCTTCGAGGGGTGATGGTGAACATGATGTTGTGCGCCCGCACGTGCACACACACACACACGCCCGCCGGACGCGAGCCGTGCCAAATCTCTCGGTACGTGCGTGCGTGCGTGCGTGCATGCGTGCGCGCGTGCGAGTCGGCTGTGCGCATGAGAGGACGGACCGTGAGGGGGAGGGGACCGAAAGGGCGGCTTTTTCTTTTGCAAATCACTCGATCGCAAGTGGGGAAGGTGTGTGGGCTGGGTGCGGCGGAGGGACGCGGCAGAGGGGCTGGCGAGGAAGGAAGAGAGGGAGGAGGAGAGGGGGGCTCACTGCTGGTGAAGAGAATCCCAAGGAATGGCCAGCAATGGCGCATCTTATATACCCCCGGGGCGGGGGTCCCGGAGGGCAAGCCTCTCCGAGGGCCGAGTGGGGAGGGGGCGGGGGGGGCGTGGACATACCTGGCCGGCCTGCATGCTGTCCGGCGGTGGGCATGCACCACGACCCCCTCCCCTCCCCCCCGTCTGGGAGAGGACGGGTTCTGGCGGCGGCCCCCCCTCGCGCCCGGCGCCCCCGCCCGGGGTAAAGGCAGGGGGCAGCCGGGGCGGGGGGCCGCCGGCTGCCGGGCCGGACGGCGCGCTGGGCGAGGGCCAACGGCCGAGGTCGGTTCGTTTGCATGGCCGCCCGCCCTCGTCGTGGGGAAATGTAAACACTGGCGGCGGGGAGTGGGCACGCCCGGTGGCGCGGCGGCCCCCTGGGGCGGCGTGGCGCCTCGGAGCGGCCGCCGCCCGGAGGCACAGGGGGCGAGGAGGGCTGCCGCCGGAGGTGGTGGCGGCCCCCTCGCCCGCCCCCCGCGCCTACCAAGGAAGCCGCCAGGCCCCGGGGTGTGAATGTGTCCCCGGGGCTTCGGCTCGCCTCGCTGGGGCTGGCGTTGCTGGCGGGATCGGCTCCCACCTCCGACAGGCAGGTCAAGCGCCTCCCCTCCGCGCGCGCGCGCCCCCCCCCCTCTCCCGTCCCAAAAGAGAGGTCAGGCCCGGGAGGGGGGCGCGCGGGCGCACGGTGCCCCGAAGGGCCGGCCGGGCGAAGGCCCGAGGAATATCGATCCTATCTAATCGCCCTTCACCTGCCGCGGGTAGGCGGGAAGACGCCGGGGGGCGGGGCCGGAGGCGGGCAAGGGCGACGCGGGGGCCGCATGGACCCCCCCCCCCTCCCCGCATACAAACGCACTGGCCTCGGGGGCCTCCGATCGAGCGAGGCGCAGCGGGCACGGGGGGGGGGGGGAGGAAAAAAAAAAAAAACAAAAGGCCCAGGCGCGGGGGCGGGGGGGGGGGGGGGGGGGGGGGGGGCGCCCCCCGGCCCCAGGCCAGATCCGGGGCAGCACCCCCTTGCGCGAAGCCCACAATGGCGGGGCCAGTCCCGGCTTAACCGACTCGCACGGGGGGCGCGTCCGTCGGGCCGGGAAGCGCGCGGGCGTCCGACCGGCGGACAGCGGCCAGGATGCTGCTACCTAATCAGATATGCCATTCGGCAGATCTAGTTAATGCCGGCGATTGAGCGGATAGCCCAGGGCAGGCGGCGACGGAGGGCGCCCTTGCCGGGTGCTTCGGCCCGGGGCGCGGCCCGGCCGAGCGGCGATTGTCCGCGGCCATACGCCACCCCGGCGCGCGGGTCAGTATGATAGCCCTGTGCGAGGGCGCGCGTGCGCGAGGGGACGGCGGGGAAGGGGAGGGGGAGCGGGGGCGCCCCGCCCCGGGCCCCGTCCGGGAGCGCCCACCGCCGGCAGCTCCATCACGAAATTGTGGCGTCCGCACGCCGGGCGGCGGCCGGGCGATTTGATACCCCGCGGCCGGGCGTGACACAGAGCCGGATCACGCTGCGCGCCGTGATCCGTCCCCTATCGCGGCACGCGCGCCGCGGACCCAGATCACGCGACAGGGCGTATGATGTAACTCGCCCGAATTCAGCACGACGCTCACCCCGCGCGCGCCACACGGGCACGGGCGATTGGGGCCGCTACCTGGCGCTTCCTAGCCGCCCGGGCCCCGCGGGCCGGGGGGGAGGGGGGGGGGGAGGTCGCCAGGTTGATGGACCGGCCTGCGGTGTGCGTGTGTGTCTGCCTGGCCAGCTGCCCAGCCCACAATCCCCAAATCCAGCTGGGTGCGTGTGCGCCCTGGCAGACCCCCCCCGCGCCTCAGGCAACTGGCCCCCGGGGGCTCCTGGGCATGCGCATGCTGCCCCCCCGCCCCGCGCCCCGGGCCCGGATACGGGGGCGTGTATGAGGGGAAAGGCGTGGGCGCATGGGGGCGGGGGGGCCGGCATCGCGCCCCCCGCCATTCCAAATTGTGGGGGAGGCTGGGGCGCACTCGTGTGCGTGAATGTGCATGCGGCCACGCATGTAAGGGCGGCGGGGGGGAGGGGGGGACCTCCGGCGAAGGCCTGGCCCCCTCCTCCGGTGCGGGGATGCTGGCGTTTTGGGGGTGATTTTTTCGGCCCCCCTGGCGAGTCAGCCTCGCTCTGGCGGTTGCGGCAACTCTCGCCCACTCCCCCCCTCCTTCGCTCTTTCCCTTGCTCAGTGCCTGTCCCACATCTGCACACGCGCCCATTCGCCAGCATATTCGCCCCCGCCTCCCCCCCCCCCCGCCGCCGCCCCCCGCTTCCTCCCTGCGCCTGCATTCCCCTCTCGCCCTGTCGCCTGTGCATCCCGGCATCGTGTCCCGAGGGCCGCGGGTGCGCGAGAGAGCGTGAGAGAGCGTGAGAGAGGCGGGGCAGCAGTAGGAGCCCCGAGCGGCCGTCGGGGACAAGCACGCGCGCGTGCGCATGACCGACCCAAGCGAGGGACATGACCCGGCGTCCCGGCGCCATGTTGGCGGTGCGCGATCCTGGGTGGACGAACCACCGCCGGTGGAGTGCCTGGACCACTCGGTCGAGCGGATGTTCCGCATCGAGCCCGGCCGGCTGCTGAGCGCGTCGACGGATCGGGCAGGCCCGGGGCTGCCACCGGCCCCGGCCGGGCCCGGGGCACATGGCCGGCCCCCGGTCATGGTCCCGGCCTTGCCGGAACCCCTGGTGGACTATCAGCCCGCCGTGGCGGCATCCGTGAGCGACATCTTCCGTGCTGGCCGGTGCCTGAAGGCCGGGGCCCTGATGCCGACGCCGCTGGACAGCCACCTGGCCGCCGACTCTGTGACGGTGCCGGTCCGCCGAGCGGCCGACGTGGCGCGGCCCGCGCCTCGGGCCATGTCCCCGAGCGCGGGCGCCTTCGAGGGGACTGGCATGCCAGCAGCAGCAGCAGCAGCAGCAGCAGCACCGCCGCCGCCGCCGCCGCCGCCGCCGCCTCCCCCACCAGCGTCGCCGCCACCGCCGCCGCCACCACCGCCACCACCGCCATCGCTGCATAAGGTGACACAACTGGATGGGGCTGCCGGCAACGGGCGGCCCGGCCCCCGTCGGGATGCCGGTGCGCTGTCCGCCGAACCCCACGCCCGCACCGCACAAGACCCCCTTGCCCATCTGCTGCCTGACCCTCCCTCCGCGACGGGGCCCGCGGCGGCGCCAGACCTGAAGTCGCGTCTGCTGCTGTGGATAGGTCTCAAGCGGCGGCAGCCCTTCCGCGAGCTGTTTTCGCTGCCGGAAAATGAGCAGACCCTGGACTGCGGGACCTTCTTGAAGTTCAAGAACCGTGACTTGGAGAACTCCTTCCGCGAGTTCTTCCTGGTGCATGTGCGTACGCGGGGCCGGCCCGCGGTGGGGTCCATCTCCAGGGGCCGACAGGGAGGCGGGGGGGGGGGGGGGGGGGGGGGGGGGGGGGGGGGGGGGGGGGGGGGGGGGGGGGGGGGGGGGGGGGGGGGCCACATTGGTGTCGGGGTCCCGGGCGAGGGCCTCGGCCGACTGTGACTGACCGGCTGCCCGACCGGCGTGGCATGGTGTGCGGCGCCGCGCCGACCGCAGGACAAGTCGTCGCTCAAAACGCTGGCTCTGTGTGGGCTCATGGCGTCCGTCCTGCAGACCATCGTGTATTTTGTCTTTTCCGACTGCGAGCGATACGCCGTCGGGGCCCAGTGCTTTCCCACCCTGGCGGGCATCCTCTTCTCCGTCATGACTTTGATCTATGTGTTCATTGTCTCGGTGATCATCTTGAGGTGCGTGCGGGCCGGCGCCCGGGAGCGGGGCCCTCGCCTGGGCCGGGGCCTGCGACATGTGCCTGGCGCCATGGCTCCGGACTTACCTCGCCACCTGTGCCCCGATGTCGGCCCTCGGGGCCCCCTCGGCCACGGCCATCATCCCCCTCGAGGCAGACCGGACATCGGCCAGACCCCGGTCTTCCTGCTGCATACGCTGCTCCTGTCAACCCTGGCCATGCTATCGGTCCTGTTCAGCTGCGAGGTGTTCATCAGCAATGTGCGTGCTGGGCGCCGCTGCGCGGCCCCTGGGGCCACAGGGGGGCGGGGGGCGCACGCGCGGGGGACAGCCGGCAACTGTGCCGTCGCGCTGCGGCACCGGCGCGCCACCCGGACCCCACTGCCGGGCACTAACCTTCTCCCCTGGTACTGCCTGCCTTGGCCGCATCGCCGGGCCTGTGTGTATGTGTGACGGTGTGACGGTGTGTCGGCGCGCGCCGGCGCAGGACTCGATCCTCACCTTCGTCATCATCAACCAACGAGTGATGATGATCATGCTGCTGGTGGTGCCGCTGTCCTGGATGCGCCTCGGGTCCAGCACCATCCTCATCCTGGCCGTGGCCACCATCGACCATATCATCCGCATTGTGGTGTATGCCATCAATTATCGCGGCGTGCGCGACCGCTTCGAGTGGCGCTTCATCCTGGCCACCACGCTCTTTTACCTGGGGACCTTCATCGCCTCCATCACCATCACCTTCGAGCGGGAGTTCGAGTCGCGGGCCTTCTTCCTGAAGACCGGCGTCCTGTACCAGAGCCACCTGGTGATGCGCAATGCCCACCGGGCTTCCAATGTGCTGCTTCGGTCGATCATGCCGCAAAGGTGCGCCCTTTGCTGGCGCTCACCCCCCAGGCGCAGGGCCGGCGAGGGGGGGGGGGGCAGCACGGCATGTGGGTGGGCCTTCCCCCGGGGGCCCGGCTCTCTGCTTGCTTCGCCGGGAGCCCTGCTGTCGGCTGGTGTCGCCCGGGGGGGGGGGGGGGGCCTTGCCATGCCGGCCACAGGACAGGTGCCCGGTCGGGCGGGGGGCGTCCCTGCCCAGGCGGCGGCCGGCTGGCCGTGACTAACCCCATGACACATTGCCCGCGCGGCCGGGCTTCGCGCAAACCACCTCAGCGCCATCCGGCTGCTCCGGGACCGGCGCACGCAGAATGACCAATTCGCCAGGGCCGTGCAGCCGGCGCAAATCCACACCAATGTGACCATCCTCCTGGCCGATGTGGCCGGCTTCACGCGCTTCAGCTCGTCCATCAGCGCCGAGGAGCTGGTCCTGACGCTGAATGCCCTGTTCCTGTGCTTCGACAGCTTGGCCCACGCGTACGATGTGGAAAAGATCAAGACCATGGGCGACAGCTATGTGGCCTGCAGCGGGGCCCCGCGCCAGGAGAAGCTCCACGCCCTGCGCATTTGCCTGCTGAGCCTGGCCATGTGCGATGCCATGAGCGAATTCACCGTCGGCGCGGTGGTGGAGACGGATCCGGACTGCGCGGCGGCCATGGCCGCCGCCATGGCCGCCACCGCCGCCAACGGCACCGGCAACTGCACCAAGTGCGGTGGCATGGGCCGCGTCCCCGGGGGCGGGCCCTGGCCCGCGGCCGACCCGCTGGCCGACTGCGACCGCTTTCACTATGCCTGGCGGCCGCTGCGTCTGCGCGTCGGCGTCCACACCGGCACCGTGGCCGGGGGCCTGCTCGGCCTGAAGAACATGCGCTACGGTATGTCCCGCAGTGAGGCCGGCCGGCAAGTGGGCAGAGGGGGGGGGGGGGGGGGGGGGGGGCTTTTTTTGTCCGGCCACCTGCCTCTCGGTCGGCCCCGCATGCGCGCCTACCACCGGCCCCGGGCATGCTGCCTGCGCTGCTCGGCTGCTCGGCTGCTCGGCTGCTCGGCTGCTCGGCCGTTCGACCGGCGGCCATGGGTCACCGGCAGCGCGTGTCCTGGTGGGGCTTCTCGGCTGGGCGTGTCCTGCCGGCGGCCGAGCCCGCCGCTGCCCCGGCCATCCGGCCCCCTTTGGTCCCCTTCCGGCATCTTCGCTTCCCCGGCCCGGGCCTGGCTGATTGACCCGCCTGCGCTGCCGCCCCTGCACCCGGTCGCCCATTCGCTCGGCCTGGCCGGCCGGTGCGCTCGCCCGGGGAAAAAAAAAAAAAACAATGACCAGACCTCTACTCCACCGACATGCAGGTGGCCTCCATGATCGAGTCTTCCGGGCCGAAGAACAAGCCACACGTGTCCTTCCAAACGCTGCTGGCCCTGGGCCCGCAGCTGGACGACTTCGAGCTGGAGTCCTCGCCCTCCGGGGGGATTTACATCGACAGCGTGGGGCATGTCATCCACACGGCCCTGCTGCGGGGGCTGATCCGCGAGTGCCGGCGGCGGGATGGCTCGCTGCGCAAGCTGTCGGCCGTCACCTGCCGGCTGATCCTCGAGGCGGAGGTGCGCGTCCGCACCGGCGACCTGTCGGAGCTGGCCTACCTGGTGCATTCGGCCCCGACCCCGGGCACGCCCGGCACCCCGGGGGCCGGCCCCTCGCGCGGCCACTCGGCCCTCTGGCGGCGGTATCGCCTGATGGACTCCGGCCACCCGGACCGGCATTCGATTGAAAGCTCGCGCCAGCTGTGCGTGCCTCCTCCGGGGGGGGGGGGGGGGGGG